TTATTATCTTTTTGGCATATGTACCCTACACAGAATCCTTTATTAGTATTTTTTTTTTTTTTTTTTTTTTTAGTCAAGTTTAAGCTTAAATCAAAAAACTAAGATAAAGCTGCCATCTACGTTGCAACAAAGAAATATTGTAACGTGCCAAAGTTAGTTTAGGAAAGAATAACCTAAACAAGTGTAATGTAAGATTGTGTGACCTGTGGAAATCATCCTTTACTATTATTATCTTTTTGGGCATAGTGTACCCTTTACACCAGAATCCTTTATTTAGTATTTTTTTTTTTTTTTTTTTTTTTTTTTTTTTTTTTTTTGGGCATATTTACTCTGCATAGAAATTCTCTTCCTGAGGACTGATCTCAATTATTTGATTTCAGTCACTTGATTGTAATTCCTTTTTTTCTTGTTTATCACTTATTAATGAAAAACTTACAAAGTTACGAATGCTTTGTTTGGATGGAGAGAGGATGTAAAATGAGAGAGTAAAATGTTACTGTTCATTTTACCTCCTTATTTTACGCTCTTTGTTTAGTTTGTGAATGGAAAATGAAAGGGTGGGAGTAAAATAAATTTATTTTACTTATGTTCCGTTTGTTTTTATAAATTATTTGCTGAGAATATTTTCCATGGAAAATTGAAAATATTTTCCAAATGACTTATTTTCCATTGTTTGGTTGTAATATTGAAAATTAATTAAAATATTAAAGTCTTTATCTCGTAAGACCATAAAAAAAAGTCTTTATTCTCGTAAGCCATAAAAAAAAAATATTAATTTTAATAATAAAAATTTTATAATTTAAAAACTTTATTGTTTAAAGTATTTTGAGAAATTTAATAATAATAAAAATTTTATAATTTAAAAACTTTATTGTTAAATATGAGAAGAATGCAAAAAAAAAAAATGTAAATTATGAAAGCCGCCGCTGGCCAGTGGTGGTGGTGGCCGATAGTGGTAGTTAGTGGTAAATAATTATTGGTGGTAGTAACTATGATGATTAATAAATTAAAAAAAATATAGATTTATAAGGTTTGTCAATGTCTGGAAAATATTTTACTCTCTTAAAAATGAGAAGTTATTTTTCTTAAAAAATGACTTAATTTTCCTTTGACCTGACAAATATTTTCCGTTCACTTATTCTCTTGAACGCCCCAAACAACGAAAAATTGTAAAAAATATTTTGCTGTAAACTATTTTACAAAAATAAACGGAGCTTTAATTGCACCTTTGTTGTTTTTTACTTTCCTCCCATTTTGACATCCTCTCCTTATTTTAACCGTTGGGAAAATCGCTATTTTTCCCGCCCTTCGGATCCGCTTCAAGTAGGAATAAATGAGAAAATAAAATAATAACTGAGAAATTAAAGAGAACACGATAATTTAATGTGGAAAACTCCCCAAGTGGAGAAAAACCACGGAACCACGGCTGTTTGCTCAAAACGACAATCAAGAAAAATATCACTATGCGGCAAATGTGGTTACACGCGCGCACAATATACAAAATATTTTTCTACCACTGACACCTCCTCAAAACACCTCAAATATTTTCCCTCTCACTCCAAGGGACTCCAAAGAGACATTGCTTCTAACAATCCCCTAATGATATAAAACGCCAACTCACAATATTTTTTTGGTGTGTTTTGGTGTGCTTTGGAAAAGCTAGAACATTAGCTTCCTTTTTATAACGCAAACCACACGCTCAAATTCTCAATCTCCCCGGGATTGTGGGGAGTATTGAGCAAAAAGTTTAATTTTTAATATTACTTTTTTTTCTTTTAATTTTCAACATTCAACAAAGGAGGCTAACATCTCCACCTTGAAAATAAAATTTAAAAAAAAAACACCAACATTGTCCTTTCACTACCGACAATCATATCTTATCGTCAAGAATATCATACTCCACCATAAAAAGGATGTATCGCCACTTGGGAACCACTTTACCGACTCAGAATTTCCATGGCCATGTCGGATTCCCGCTAGTAGTTTATGGTGCAACCTCCTGTTGACTTTTTCCGAGAGTTCATTAGCCATCGGACATGATTTTTCCACCACACACTTTTGCGTTTCAACTGTCAACCAATGCCAGTGTGCGCAACTTTCCATAGTTGGAACCAAGCTACCAATAAATCCGATCCTTCTTATTCATGGCAAATCTCAACCGGGTAGACAAATCATGCCATGAGGACATATTAACATTTCTCTCAATTACAGAGAGGATTCACCCATCATCTCCTTCACCACAGGAGATCACATTGGCGACCAACAACGTTAGAGCTTCTCAGTCGAATTCAGCTCCACCGTGTCGGGCAAATCCTTCCTCACGTGTCCAGTTTGAGCCACCAACCCAGCAGACAACCCTCATTCCTACTTATCTCGGACGCTGTGTGTATTCCCTTTATCTGTCTGTACCGACAAATAAAGCTGAATTCCTCATATGATTTATTTGTGTTCATTTCATTCAGTCTTTCTCTCCTCAGTAAGGAGCTTTACTAACCACATTTCGCTACACCACCTTCCTGACTAAACCATAATTTTAGAACAGGTTTCATGTGCTCATATGTCGAAGGAAGTGACAGGATGAGTCGGAGAAGCTTTATCTTCATCTTGAGCTTTATCTTCATCTTCGGTTTGCACTCCAAGAGTTTCTAATTCAGAGACGATGTCGTTAAGAACACTCAGGTGATCTGACAGCTTTGTACATTCCGCCATTTTCAACGTATGAAATTGCTCTTTTAAATATAACCTGTTGGATATATTTTTTCCCTGGTACAATTCTTCCATTTTCTCCCACAACTCCTTTGTCGTGGACAATCCAAGCACATTAACAAGAACATTTTTTGCTAGACACATGCAAATTTGACTTGCCGCTTTGATATCCAGCTCCTCCCATTCTTCATCGCTAATCTTGGATTTTTCTGAGTCTCTACTGCCACTGTCTTTTCTTGAATTCTTTCCGCTGACTGGTTTACCCTGCAAAACCTTATGCAGTCCAGACTGAATCAATACGTCTTTGACTTGCACTTGCCACAGTGCAAAATTCATTCTCCTGTCAAGTTTCTCAATCTCACATCTCATAGCCGACTTCTCAATCTCACATCTCATAGCCGACATGCTTACTTGTGCTTATAACAGTGAACCCAATAATTAGTGAAGTAAACCGATTCAGCGATACTCAGGAAAGACCACAATGATCTCCTAGACAGTATTACCATTCCACGTAAAATCCCAGTTGGGAGGAGGGGTCACAAGTGGTCCCACTTAAAATCCGGCCTTCTAGACAGAAGTTACGTGCACGGTATATTATCTGAACTTTCGTACCAGAATAACTTCAATAATTGCAACACCAAATCAAAGCCTCCCACCAGCTTCAAGACTTCCAAAACTCCACCTGCTTTTAAAATAAAATAATTCTAAACAACAGTAATTTCTGATTGTGGAAGATCAGGACTAAGCCGCAACCCACAGAGCATACTTAATAATTACAAAAGAAATATTTTAAAACCACTAAAAGCTCCGACCTAACAACTAGCTCTGATACCCACTGTTGGGGAAAATCGCGTGATTTTTCTACCGCCCTTCGGGATCTGCTTCATAGCAGAATAAATGAGAAATTAAGAATAATAACTGAAAAATTAAGAGAACACGATTAATTTAACGTGGAAAAACTCTCTCAAGTGGAGAAAAAACCAACGGGCTGTGTTCATAAACCGAAACAATCTCACAGAAAATATAATTCACTATTGCGGCCAAAATATAGTTCCTACACCCACAATTTACAAAATATTTTTCTACCCGACACCCTTAAAACACCCCAAATATTTATACTCCAAAGGACTCCAAGAAGACTTGCCTCTATAAAATACCCTAATAATAAAACGCACTTCAAATATTTTGGTGTGTTGGAAAGCTAAACATTTGAGCTTCCTTTATGATAAGCCAAAACACTCTTACTCACTCAAATTCTTCGGATCTCTCCGATGTGGGATTAAGCAAAAGTTAATTTTTTACAAAAGACTAGAAATGAAAAAGAAAGGTTAGAATAGTTACCTAGCCCTCAGATTTGAGGATTGCATGCACTGAGATTAGTCTAGAGACAGTATTTCAAGACCCCAGAAGTGTGGTCACCAAGTTCTTTCACAAAGTAAATCGTTTTCCTTTTTTCTTTCCTCTCTTTTCCTCTTCTTATCTTTTTGTATTTTTTGATTTAAATCTAAAATATCTATGACTTGATCTTCCTCAAGTTTACTCAATTGAGTTCTTGAGAAAGAGCTCTAGTCGTTAATCCAAAAGCTTAAACTCAGAATGTTATGTTTCTTAGAGAAAAATGAGAGCAAAGTGTCAAAAGTCCGCAAATCCCAAGAAACTTTCAGTTGTTATTTTACACCCCTCCTTATTTTACATCCAACCAAACAAGCTCTAAGATTCTTATTGAGTTGTATTTTTGATTTAAATTAATTCAAATCATATTGTTCTTTACTCTACCAGAAAACCTTGGTGGTGTTCAATAGAAATTAAAATTTTTACTCATTTATTACTTATATTATAATAAAACTTGTCAAAATCTCAATTGAAATAAAATTCACTTGAATAATATGTCAGAGATCACATAAATCATAACACTCGAAAATAAAAAAATTCAGTTCTTGAATTTTCATTTTTAATTTTACCAAACATTACACCTCAACATAACAAATATTGTGACTATAATACCACATCATTAATATCATTCGAAAATTATGCTAACATTGCATCACCATCAATAGATGAAAATAGTTAAGTTTTATTTTTAAGTTCTTTCCTTTTTTTTTTTTTTTTCCAGATGTTCTATTTTTATTGAATTACCATTCTAACTCATGAAGTTATCAAAATTTTAATTTTACTCTATAATGGCTAGTGCAGCCCTGAGAGTAAATTCATGCTCCTTTCTTTTTACGTTAGGACGGAAGACTTAATGTTCACCATTCTATTGTTCTGCGTATAATGTTGATTTGCTCAAGTGCTTTCAAGTACAAAGGCTCTAGCGCTCTGTCCAAAATATTATCACTTTGATTTACAAATGTTCTGATGGAATCACAAGTCCATTCATGTGAGCATTTTATTTTAACTATAAGCAACACAAGTTATGTATGCACAAATTTACAGTTCCGGATTATTCTCAATTTCGTTTCAGTATGTCCATACTTCCAGTAACTCACTTAACTCTGCTTGTGTGAGCTTAGCAAAGTATAGCCCGTTCAGGAGAAGGCTTGTGGTCGGTTGATGGCCGGCGTATAAATGGTCAAACCATAGAAGGTCCATACTTCCAGTGGCTAGAAGGCCAGACATGCCTCTAGGGATGACTTAGCAAGCCACAATAAGCCTGGATCATTCCGCTTCAACACTAAACAAGTTTCAGCTTTTCCAGTTTCGTCGAGGAGGACATCTTCAATAAATCCAACCATCTGCAGAATTTCAAGTGCCGCTGCAAGTGCAAATACAAGAAGCAACTTATTATTTTAGTCTAACAGTAACTCTCACTCGTAGGAAGTATCATGATTTTACCCTCTATTCTAGCTAGATGACTGTTCTATGGTGTAGATAATGCAGCCCATTAGGGTTCTTCTCGGATAAGTTAAATTGCCCAATTTAATGCTAGCTATCTTTTGATTTAGTTTAAACTGTAAATATATCCATATAACTGGATAAAAATTTCAGATTTCAAGACCCACAGCACTCACAATTGCTCATTTAGTTGGCTGTTATTCGGCTGAAATATACCAAGCGTTAATGCTTCAGCGGACAAGTTATTTCTAATGCAAATTGCATTTTGACTTATTATAAGATGGTGAAAATTCCAAGATATCATCATATGGCACAGAGCTCAATATGAACTTCAAACAAATAAAAGATAACAATTTTTTCTAATATGCGATGCCCAAATTAAGCATGTATTAAACATATGGGAGAAAAGATGCAAACCTCTGTGATTGGCAACATTCTTCTGGATTATGGGATTAGCCTGCAATGTATGAAACCCATTAGCAATTTAGAAATTAGACATGAATGGAACCTAAAACAAACTTCCAAAAATCAGAGGGAAAAAAATTCCTTATGGCTAACAGCACCCATACCTTGCGAATTCTCTTAAATTTCATTTCATATGGATGTTCAATTACATTCCTGCCATCAAGAAATAACTCCAGATATTATTACAGGGAAAAAGGAAAAGCAAAATCATCACCCAAATTGCTAAGCTTGGAAGCAATGCAGATTGTTATGGATTAAATGAACTTATCATCCACATTTGGAGGGAAGGGAATCATAGAAAGAAAATCATAGATATGTTTACCTGATTATTTTAAAAAGGGTTTGCAAGGTGGCAGTTGCCTCTGCAGTGTCAACTTCAGTTCTCAGTGTCTCAACAGCCTTCTGCAACCGTCCACAAACAACAGCAACAGGATCTTGGATCCTCCGTATCTCTTCATCATCAGGATCTGGCTCATCAATTTTCATATTGGATATTTCCTGTGAGGCCAATAAACCATCATCAGGATCAGGCTCTATTCCCACAACACTATTTGCTTGAGATTCATCAGGATCAGGTTCTCTATAAGCCTTCTTTGGACAGGCTGCATCTTCTATGCTTTCTGTCAGAGGAGTATTGCTCTGATCTGCTCCTTTGATGTTCCTATGTCGTGAATTGCTCTGTTTTGCATATGAGTCATCTGGATCAGGTTCATCAATGATCATGCTTTCATCAATCTTCATACTTGAAATTTCATGTGAGGCTGCCAAATCATCATCAGGGTCAGGCTCTACCTGCATAGTTCTGTCAGCTTGAGATTCATCAGGATCAGGTTCTCCATAAACCTTATCTAGATGGGCTTGGCCTTTCCTGCTTCTAATCTTTAAAGAATTGTCCTGATTGGGTCCCTGGATGTTTCCATCTCCTACTTTTACTTCTGAGTCATCTGGATCAGGTTCATCAATGGTCTTGCCCAACTTAATCAAATTGTTCAAGGTCTCCATCAGCCCAAGGTTATTATTTTGAGAATCATCAGGATCAGGTTCATGCTTGCTTTGAACATAAGAATATTCATCAGGATCTGGTTCATAATCAGGTTTGAACTGAACCTTGTGTGCAAATTCAATATCTGTATTATCTTCTCCCACGTAATTAGCTTCAGGTCTGTGATGCATGCTGATTCTGGAATCATCAGGGTCAGGTTCTTCATACACTCTAGAAGCTCCTGAACCATTAGCAGATTCATTTGCTAAACGGAGGTAAGCAGCAGCCACTGAAGATGCACGAGCACTTGCCATTTGATCCAAAACATTTCCCCCAAGCTTGTAAGAAAAACTTCTATTGTCTGAATCATAGGATTCTTCTTCTTCATAATGGTCCAAATGCCTAACTCGATTCAAGGTGTGTCCCCTAGATTTAGTCCAATCTAAACTAGCAGCTTCTTGGTTCAGCTGCCCAGAAATATACAAATATTAGACTAGGTTACTTTGTTGAACAATAACAGTGAACTTGAGCAATAATTATAGCCTCAATTGTAAACACATGTATGCACACAAACTGTACCTGTTTATCCAAATTATAGAAGTTTGCGTCATGCTCTGAGTATACCATGTGAGCCTGAAATGAAATATGAACAAATGCTCTTCAAAATTAGTCACTGATAATTGGCATTGCAACCATTGAATCATGATAAGAAAAAAATTCCACTCATAAAGCTTACAAGTTCATGCAAAAGTGTCTTCTTGATGCTTTCATATTTTCTGAAGCCCTTGAGGTCATCAGTTCGAAGACGCAGAGATATCTCCTCTCCATGATTCTGGAACAGCAAACAAAAGTCAATAAATAGAAAAGGGGGGAAAAAGAATATGTGTAACATATCAAAGTTGGTGCAAACATTAAGTAAGTAAAGAACGCATTTCTTATGCTTGCCAGATTTTTACCTTATTGAATCCAAGAATACATTTAGGACTCACACCAACATAACCAACTGGGGCCATCTCAGTCATAATTCCAACACGCCAACGATGCTTAAATGGAAAGAAAAAGAATCAAATGTTAGCCCAACAAGAACAGATGATTTATGCGGCTATCAATCAGGAAAATCGACATCCAATATACCTTGTTCATTATTGCAACAATTCCAGGATCTGCAGCAAGCATATGCATCCTTTTTAATGCCTCTGAAGCTGGAGGGTTCAACTGTAGACCAGCAAAAATCCCAGGCAATGAATTAAGTCCATAGGATCAATTTCAAAGCTTTTATGTTTCTAAAACACAAATGTTCAACTTAAATACTTCAGTATAATTTTTCCCAGTGCAATATTGATATGATCACTTCTAGTTAAGAGTTTAAATATGTTTTGTTGTAAGGATGCCTTCTGATCCTGTTCGTGTAACTGAATCAGATGTGTTTTACTGACGTGCTCTACTGCCCAATAATTGTCTCAAGGAACTATAAAGATAGGTTGCTTTCCTGATGATCCTACATCTTACTGGGAAAACTACAATAATAGCATGCCTTCAACTATACAGAAGTAATTTATCAACCACTTGAACACAAAGTCAAGATGAGGATGTCATGCTAAAAAAAGAGGACAATCCATTAACTTAATGACAAATAATCAATATTATATTGTTGATTTTCTATAGAGTAGCAATATCATTGAGTATTTACAAAGGCTGCCTTTTTCCCTCTTTCTCAGTAACACAATCTCTTTCCAATGGAAAGTACTTGTACATACCAGTGTGTATCCATTTCTCATATACCTAGCCAATAGTAAATTGTTAATTTGTTATTTTTAAAAATGCCAATTTTTATTAGTTTTGTCCCTTTATTTTTCCTTGTGAAAGACACTCATATCCTTATTTTCACCAATTTTCATTATTAAATTTGCTAAGTGTATAAAAACGATGTAGGGTTAGTCTTTCCCTATTTACCAATATGGTACCTAATCTAAATAAACTACAGAATAACAATTTCATTTCATTTTTTCTGCACTACAAGTAAAACAGAATTAGGCTAGTTAATAGCACCATTATCCTCTACTAAAGCAGAAGAGTGAAGTTGAATATTCTCTCACAACTATGAACTATCAAAAGAGAAGAGATTGAAAAAAACAAGGGAAGAAAAAAAAAGTTAATTTGCAAACTCAAAGTGCACCTGTATCCCAGGAAGTTGCAGTGTGCGAAAATCACAAAAGGTGTAAGGTCCTTGGGGTAGTTTAAGCAAAGCATGGGGACTATATGCCGATCGCTGCTTCATTCTCCTCTCTTCTTCATCAAATCCAGCAATTCTTAAGTTGTCTTTAGCATTTTGTAGAACTTTATCAACCTCATCTTCAGGCACTCCCATCATTCTGATAGACTTCCCCTGAAACAAAAGAAAAAAGCATCAATGCCATTGGAAAAGGAGATGATAATATATGTGAAAATATGTCACATGCAATAGCAAAGAAAGTCATTTATTTGTCATAGTGTCATTCTGTCAAAGAACTCAAATTGGTAAAATTACCTCGAGAATGGAAGCTTTGTGCAAACTTAGTTGTGAGTGTTCATTAGAGAAAGGAGACAGCAATTTTGAACCTTTGCTAGAAACTTGTGGCACAATTAGTTTCATAGTATCTGGCTTGACATCAGTCAACTTCTGTAGTTCATCTCCTAGGTCCTTAAGAGATGCATTAGAGTTCATTTCTATAATATACTTGTTCCCTCTCCATGTAACTGATATATTGAGTAGGCTTTCAGCATTTTCCATGTCTTACTGTAGGAAACAAAGAGGCAGAAAGGATAAGACAACAGCTTCTAACCATGCAAAAACAATGAATTTGGGATTATGAATATCAAATAGCTGAAAAAACTTGTGTGCAATTATTCGGAATCATTTACATTACACTAAAAGGCATTTTGAGACCAAATAATTCCTAGAAGGCAACATATTTAGCAAACTGACTTCTAAATAATGAGATGGATAAAAATAATATTCAAGATTCTGAGACTCTAAAAAACAGAAAAGAGAATGCATAGCATACACTTTCAACGTGATACAATCATTTTAGCCTTTTATGAAGAGCCCAAAAGGAAACTGAATAACCTATCTTCCTGATCAAGCAACTATGGCAAGTGAATTTTCAGATTCGTATCTTCAAATTCCAGAAAGGAGACAATGAAAATATCAAAGGATCCACATAAGAAGTTTTCAACTTCAACTAGAACAATTCAATAAACAGTACCCAAAACAAAGTCCAGCTAAAATTCATAAAGAAGCTCAAAGTCATGAAAAATCAACTACCCGTGACTACGTCCATGTCAAACCTCCGATTAACGCAACAAAACAAACAAAAAGAGAATCTATTAACAGGCCTCAAGCTTGAATATGTTTAATGATCGATTCCTCATCATCTCCTAATTTTTGAAGATAATTAGATGATTATCAACGATCGAGCTAACCCAAATTGAGAATTTAGAAAAGGTTCGATATTTACCTGTGTGAGAATTCTCTGACGTTGAGAAACTTTTTTTGTTTTTCCGTGAAAAATAGATACTATTTAGATAAGTACCAGGGCTTAATCAAAATTAATTTATATATGGGAATTGAGGCGCAGGATATGAGGCGGCGCATTTTGTGAGCTAGATATGAGCCTCGTGCTAAAGTGAGCTGTCGGGGGTTGGTTGCTATTATATGTTCTTGCGTTGCGTATGTGCTGTCGTATTAAGCGAGGATAAATCCAGAAGCAGATGTAAATTGTTTGGCAACAAAAATGTTTGGCTCCTTTTCGAGGACATGCATGTCCCAATTTCTCCCTTAATTTTTTTTTTTTTTTTTTTTTATCATCTGCCTTAATTTTTGGAAGATAATTAGGCTCATGATTATTCAACGATCGAGCTAAACCCAAATTGAGAATTTAGGAAAAGGTATACGCAGTAATTTACCTGCTGTGAGAATCTTCTCGACGTGAGAAGAATTTTTTGTTTTTCGTGAAAAATAGATACTATTTAGATAAGTAACCAGGGGCTTATTCAAAATTAACGTTATCTATATATGGGAATTGAGCGCAGGGATATGCAGGCGGCGCCATTTTAGTTCTGCGCTAGATCATCTGTAATCCGCTAAAGTGTCTAATCCCACCTCTTTCTATTTATATGTTCTATGCGTTGCGTATGTGCTGTCGTAGTTAGCTGAGGAAATCCAGAAGTCAAAACTGGGCAACAACAAATGTTTGGCTCCTTTTCGAGGACATGCATCCCTTTTTTTTTTTTTTTTTTTTTTGGTTTTATCGACGTAAACAAAATTTTGAACATCTACAAGTAATAAGAATTGTAAATAAAAAATTTTTTTTGAAGGATAAAAGAAAATATTGAAAAAATTTCACTACTGAGGAATTTATAATTAAATTGAAAATGTATTTATACAGTGATTAACCAAATTGAAAATCTATCTATAATTCATAGTTAGCATTATTGGGATCTAGTTTTGAATTATAATCAAATTGCAATGAAAATGTTTAAAATTAGAATCAAATTGTAATAGATGATTTTAGATTTCAAACTAGAATCAAGATTGTGCATATAATTTAATTATGATCTTTTTTTTTGAATCAGAATATTCGGTTTAAGTTTGGAATTGTCAATCTAATTTAGAAACATCTACTACGGTTTAATTTCAAATTGAAATCAAATCAAAATGAAATTAGTAAAGATCAAAATTAAATCATGGTGAATGGTTTCATTTTCCAACTTGCTATTAAAATCATATATCTATAGTTCCAACTCCAATTTATTATTCTCTCTCCTCCGTTACATTAGTCAATTTTTAAATTTTTACAAGAATTAAGAAAATGATTGAATCATCTTCATTCAATTGAAATAAAATTTATTATAAATATCTAGATAGTGGTAAGTTGGAAAAATAGTTAATGCTAATTTCATTTTTTAAAAATGCAATCTAAATGGAATGGAAAAAAAAAAAAAAAGTTAAACGCTATCAAATTTAATGGAACGGAGAGATTATTTTTTAGAACTTAAATCGTCAATTTAAATTGAAATCATAATCGTGATTTAAAGCTAAAAAGAGTATTTATTAACTATAACTAATAATAATATTTCTCTCATGGTGAATTTCTAGGAATTTTGAATGAAACTGTATCCTTCGAGTGACTTGCCAATGTGGTGAATTAACAGTCTACTTTTATTATCTCGTGGATCATTCACAGTGGAGTTCTAGTCTCATCAGAATCGAATTCTATCGCAATTACTTATTTATTCTACAATTCTGCATATTTTATAACCTTTATTTTATAATTACATGGTATTGATTCTATCGACGGTGTGTTTTATATATGGCAAATGAAATGCATGAAGGCTTCCTTTAACAATCCTTTGCAATTGGTGCTGCTTTGTAATGACTGGAGAAGAAATCATACCTGCATTATGTATTTAATAATTTATAAATAAATAAAATGAGTTAGTCATATAAATAAAAATATTGAAAAAATGCAACTTACTCTATTTTACGTGCCAATTGGTACATGGAAGTTGCAGCCATCACAATGCTTACACTGAAAAGATTCCAATTTTTCTGCACTTGGTTCAAATATATGTATGGTCAATAAATAAATAACAATAATTTAAGGCCAAATGTATAAATTCACATTTTTATTTTATGTAAAAAATTTTGTATCACTCTTAATTTTATAAGAAACTATTTGTATCTTTGAAGTTATGAATTTTAATAACATCTCACACTTCTTCGTATTAATAATAATAGTTTTTAGTACTTTTAGTTTCTATATATAAAATATTGATTTAATATGTGATTACATAATTTTTAAAATAATAAATTTTACATTTTTTAATTATTTAATAAGTGTTTAATTTATCTAAATTTTAAAAAATTTAGAGTGTTTAATAAAAAAATTTTATAAATTGAAGTGTTTAATATATGCAATTTTATAACTAAAATTATTCAATTGATCAAAATAAAAATTAAGAGTAACACAAAAGCTTTTAATGCAAAGTATATAGATGAAGCATGCGTTTCACCAACAATTTTAAATAAAAGACAAATTTTTATCTTTGATTAAATCAGATTTTAAATTTTAGAATTAGACCATATAAAAAATAATATTTTCTTGATTGTGAATCTCTTAATTTTTTTTATGAATATCCTCATATGAGACTAATTTTGTATAAATCTTTTAATCTCAATGATGATCTCTTTTTTTTTTTTTTTTTTTTTTTTATCTCTTAATTTTTTTATGAAATACATCCTCACTACTGAGACTAATTTTGTATAATCTTTTAATCTCATGACTGATCTCTTTTTTTTTTTTTTTTTTTTTTTCTCATTACATAGCATCCTCGATGTTGCCTTTAAATGTCACGAACCTTAACTCTCATTGCAAACGTTTGTCAAAAACACCCTTTGATTTTTTTTTTTTTTTTTTTTTTTTCTCATTAATAGCATCCTCGATGTTGCTTAAATGTCAGAACTTAATCTCATTGCAAAGTTTGCTCAAAAACACCCTTGATTACAATTACCAAAACAATAAATAAGCTAGAAATTGTGAAATCATGGTAGATAACCAATTTAATTAATAAATTACTACCTCCATTCCATAATACTTCCTCTGTCCCAAAATATAAGTCATTTTTAGATGATTATTTCGTCCCAAAATATAAGTCTTTTGAGTAATTAAAGAGTAACAAATGATATTTTTTTTAATACTACCCTTGTTTGGATTAGTTATAATAAATACTTTCACAAATAACTATTGGTTTTGAGATAATGAATAATTTGTTCAAATTACCTTTGAGTTTGTTGTAATAGCTTCCTTAATCCTTATGCAACAACCTTAAACGACTTATATTTTGGGACAGAAGGAGTAATTGTCATATTTGAAATTTCATATTCCTTGAGAAAACTATTAAATTTGTCTAAGTTATAATAATTGTTAAGTAAATTGATTATATTGCCCTTAATTTAATACTAATTCTCTAAGAAAATCACTAAATTGAAATAATAATGATTAATCATATACAAATGGTAAACATGAAAAAAAAATATTTATTACTCTTTGAAACTACAAATGTGATAAATATTTTAGAATAAGTTATTTTCTTAAATGTGATAAGTATTATGGAACGAAAATAAAATTATTATTGATTAAATTTGAATATATGTTTTAGATAAAAAAAAAATTGAAAACACTATTGAAATAATTTACCGGTGTCACCACAGTGCTAAATTTTGACCAGATAATCGCACTGCATGCAAGAGCTGAATACCATATAGAGTTAAAGGCAATAAGAACATAATCAACCATGGTTAGAAATAACATTGATCAACTAATGAAGAATTAAATACTAATAATAGAAAATTTAATTATAATTATAACCTGACTGCTGAGGATAGGAGAGCTTTTCAGGAGGCTTTGTGGATTCAACCATGTTTGCAATATTGATCCCCCACTTAAAAGTTGGAGCCCAAAAATGAACTACAAAAAGAGTTTCAATACTTAAACTTCAAATTTAAATTCAATAAATATGAAGAGTAATTTATAATTTAAGCCGTCTAATTTCATAAACAGATTACGAGACACATATATTAGAATCAAGCAAAATAGTAGAAGAAGAAAACACAAACTTGTTTTAGGTCCAGCAGGATGGTTCCAAATGTTTCGAAGCTTTGAAGTTGACTTCATCTCCTCTTCCCACTCTCTGTTTCTAAGCAAAGCTAAAATTTTTTGAGAGGTGAGATCTGTTAGCTTCTCTTTTGGGTCTTATAAATGGAAGGGCAGCATTAGAAAAATGCATAGTTGTTGTTTACACGTCACTTCCCATTGGCCAAGTAGAAAGTTTTTAATTGAGGAAATAAAAAATGAAGGGGAGATTAATAATTCAATCATTTTCATATTTCTTCATCTTGATTTGAATCTTTGATTAGAAAAACATATAAATAAATAAATTAGAATTATAAACTCAATAATGAATTTTGGTCAAAGTCAATTAACATAAACATATATATAAAAGAGAAACACGGAGATTTTGCAATGTTTAACGTGGCACTCCCTTAGAAAAGTAAACTCAACATTTTAGCATTTCCATTTAGAAATTTTTCAATATTTCTCTTTTTTTTAATTACTTTTTTTTTTCTCTCCCATTTATTATCTAATTATGATTTGCTTTTCAATCTTATGAGTTTTAAATTAAATTATGGCCTTTGAAGAAATTTAATTATTTTGAGTACATTTTTATAAGTTCTAAAATTTAAGAACAAAAGTTGGATATTACTTAAAATCAAACTAAAATAAATTAACAACTTGAATTGAGCTAAAACGAATAAAACTAATTGACTTATGTAATCCAATTTTCTAATCTATACCTAGGCTTGCTTCTATTTTGACGTCCTATGCATTTTTTTTTATTCTTATATATATTAAAATTCTTTTAATTCTGTATAAGAATAATAGATTCTTCACATTTAAGAACCTAATAATATCTACATGTTCTAACTATTTTACCTAAATCATGATAGGGATAAAAACACTTACATTTTAAATTAACAAGGATGCAATTATTATATGATCCAACCATTTTTTAATTTGCTAAATGTATATAACTTCTATAAAAAAAAAAAAAAATTGATTGCCTAAAATTTAATCAACAAACATGTCTAACATCTTAAAAACATGTATATTATACATCCGCGCGGGAGACCATCTAATCAAATTATAAACTTTTATTTTCTTTATCAATAATTAATAACCATATAATAAATTTATTTCATAAATAAAAAAAACTCTTGTGTTTTCTTTATTTTGCAATAATTAATAATCCTAACTAACATATAAATAAATTTTATTATTAATAACCATATAATAAATTTATTTCATAAATAAAAAAAACTCTTGTGTTTTCTTTATTTTGCAATAATTAATAATCCAAATAATAAATTTTTAATAGAAAATTTTGTTATTTTATAATTTAATAATTCTCTTTTTTTTTTTTCTAAATCCTAACTCATTTTGAGTACTATGTATATGAGTAATACATCTAATAAATTTATTACACAATTTTTTTTATGTTCAACATATTTTTTAGATAGTGATAAAAATTAATACATTGAGCAAAAGACACATATGATTAACGATTCATGGAATTTATTTCTTTTTTTATTTAGATAATTTTATGGTTTGAGTAATTGTTTTAATTTGTAAAAATAATGTTTATATTTATTGTTTTAAGTTTAGCAAAGGTGTTGTTTGTTTTCTGATTAAGTTTCTTATTTTTCATTTTTTTCTTTAAAAAATAAATAAACTCATTTAATTTTTTTTCTTTGCTTCTAAGAAAACTGTTTTTAAAACAAAAAATAAATTTTATGAAACCACAAATAGTGGTTTACTCAATTGTGTTTTCTATTTTTAATTCTATATTTCTCTTTTTTTTTTCATTTTTTATAAGATTTATCCTCATAGAATTATTATTATTATTATTATTATTATTATTTATTATTATTATTTATTATTTTTATTATTATTTTAATTATTATAACATCTAATATTATTCATTTATCCCACTAATATCAATTTATTTATCTAAAATTTTACTAACACTATATTTTTTACTCTCCGTTCCAAACTTCTCAGCTTTTTTTTCTATATTCTTTTCTTATTTAGTATTTATTTTTATATTTATTGTATTTATTTAAGTCTATTTACTATAAATCTAATGTCATTTAGTATTATTTTTATATTTATTATTATTTAGTCTATTTATATAAATCTAATGTCATTTAGTATTATTTATTTATTATAATATTTGGATACTACATTTTTATTCAACATAATAATTATAGTTACTGTAATTTTGAAATTTTAAAATTAAATTGTAAAAAATTTTTAATTATTTTTTTCTAAAACTTAGATTTTTATAATTTTTATTATTAAGTAAAATCTTTAATAACTTAATAAGGGAGAGATTTAATAATTGGAAGAATTTTTCACATCATGAACAAAAAAAATAGTTTTGAAAACAATAGCAATTAAAAACTAAAAACAATTTCGTGTTTCTAATAAATAAAAAACTAAAAAAAGACAATTATAACAAATAGGGCCTAAGAAAGTGAATTTATTGTTTTTAATTTGTTAGTGTAGAATTCTTTTATCACTTTTAAATATATAGAAAAAGTTGGATTAGTAATTTTTATTATCATAGTAAAAAAAGTTAAAAAAATGTAATTGAAAAATATTATCTTTTCATCATATTAATTTATTTATATTTTTCAATTAAATTTAATTTGTATCAATTATTTATAAGTGTTAACTACACAATATGTGGGCATACGACTAGTGTGTATATATATAAAACATATTAAGAGAAAATATATAAGTGAAAAGTTTTGAAAACTAATTTTCATGTAACAATATTTTCTATGTTAAAAACTAGATAATTAATTATTTTCGTAAAATAACTAGCAAGAAGATATTTTTCATCGTTTTCCATTATTTTGGACATTCAGAAGGACATTCAGAAAAATAAATCAATGTAGAATATTTTCTTAATTAAAAGAAAACTAAGTCATTTTTAAGAAAAATGACTTCTCATTTCAAGAAAGGAAAACATTTTTCGGATATTGACAAACTTATTATAACTTTATAAAGATATATTTTTAATTTATTAATCACTGATAGGTAGGCATGGCTACTAATTCATTTTAAATTGAAACCGAACCGTACTATAGATGAACCGGAACCATCGATTCAAGGGCCGATTAGGGTTCATGTAAATATTAAAATGTGAACTTGAACCGGCCCGAAACCCACGGTTTCGATCCGGTTCAAACTGAAAATTTTCTATTTTTATTTTCAAAATAATAGTCATTTAGCCTATTCTATACATATCTAATAGTCTCAATAATATTTTACTGCATGATAAATTTAAGAACTTTTTTAAAAAAGAAAATACACTTTATTTTAAAAGTTAAAAATCTAAAAAGTAAAATGGCAAAACAAAATAGAAATATTTAATCTAAACTCATATTGTTTTTAACTTTTTTTTTTCTTTTAAATTGTTTACTAAGTTTAAAATTACGTTCCTGTGAAGCATTTTTCAAAATTTTCTTATAATATATTTAATTAATAACATTTAAATTACGTTCCTTGTGGAGCATTTTTTCAAAATTTTCTTATAATATACTTTTAACATTAATAACACTTTAAACAAATAAGCGATAATTTATTTGACTGCATTTTACTAAAATTAATGAATTTATTTTTAAATTGTTTACTAAGTTTAAAATTACGTTCCTGTGAAGCATTTTTCAAAATTTTCTTATAATATATTTAATTAATAACATTTAAACAAAATAAAGCGATAATTTATTTGATCATTTTATAAAATTAATGAATTTTATTCTTATATGAGTATGTGCATTCTAAAATTTATTTAAAGTAAAATTTTCCAATATTTTTTAAACTCATATTAATATTTTCGAAAGAAACATGCAACATTAGAATCGATTTTTTAAATATATATATATATATTGCTGAAAACCGTGATCGGAACCACACTGGAACCGGACAGAATCAGAATCGACGGTTCAAGGGCCGGTTCAGGTTCAATATTTTAAAATTTTTAAACTACCGATTCCAGGTCATGCTTACCAATAGCTACTACCACCAGTCACCATCACCAGTAGTCGGCTACCATCAATCACCGGCAACTACAATTAATTATTTTTTTTTCATTTTTCTCATATTCAACAGTAAAGTTTTTAAATATAAAATTTCTATTATTATAAATATTTTTATAACCTTATGAGTAAAAGATTTTAATATTTAAAACTAATTTTCAATATTGTAGTCAAACAATGAAAAATAAATTATTTGAAAAGTATTTTTTTTAAGAAAAATATTGTCCTTAGAAAATATTTTTGAGAGGCAAAATTTTTTTTTTTCTGGAAACAAATAGAGACTAAATCATTTGAAACCAACTTGCAATTAAACAAGAAACAATAGAAAATAAGTTATTTAAAAATATTTTTGAAGGAAAACATTTTTTTTTGAAAAATATTTTTTAAAAATAATTTTTTTTTAGAAAACAAACTAAGCTTAAATAAATACCAAAAGAATTTATTTGATCCATGAAATAAAATAAAAGACTATGATAGTCATACACCAATTTATTTAAGGTTGATTCTCACTCATTCCCTTAAGTTAACAATTATTTACCGTTTCAAACTTACAGTCGTAACATAAAAAAATTATCTAACATTAATTTAAGTAATACAAAAATTATTTTTATTAAATTCTCAAATAAATAAATTTTGCCTAAAAGTGTCAACCTGTTCTGTTTGATATGAGCTTAACGGGTTTGGACAAACCAATACTACAAACTAGTTAGCTTGTCATCCTTTTATGTTTTTTTGTGAATAGCTTGTCACAAGGTTTACGGCTTAGTCATAGTTAAAACTGCCTCTTCCTACTGGTTTGTTTATTGGGGATAAAAAAACTCCACATGCCTAGCCAAGCCTCTCCCTACAAGTTTGTTTATTGGGGATAAAAAAACTCCACATACTCAGCTTATATTACCAACTGAGCCACAACCCCACAACCCCTAGATTGTTCTTTATGCATTCAGTAAAGATTGAACTCGAACGTTCTTCCCACATACCTAGACTGTGTTGCCAACTGAGCCACAATCCCTAGGTTCTTTGTGAATTTGATATGTAGTAAATATGGGATTGTTAACAGTTTTGTTGTTATAAGAAATTAGTCATGTACCCGCGCGATGCGCGGATTGTATAATTTTTTTTTTCAATTGAATTGAATGTAGTTTTCAAAAAAAAAAAATTGTAATTTATATTTGTGTTGCTTTAATTTAAATAATTTGCTTATTCGTTTTTATTACATACACTCTTTTTAAAATTATCAAGTAATGAATATAAATATTAATTAGCACAATTAACTAAATTATTGTAATTCAACTAATAGATTAGTTAATTATTTATTTTTTCTCTTTAAAATTATCATATATTCAAATTAAATAAGGTATAAGAATATTTAATTTAATGAAAATTTTAGTGAAATTAAAATTAATATTTTAATTCTATTTGTTAATGTAATTATGTTATTTAATTAATTTTTAACTATGACTCTATTATACCTCCATTAGTTTTTTTAATAGAAAAAATTATTTAATAAAAATTTAATATTTATTAAATCATTTAAGTTTTTTTAAACTAGAAAAATTTATTTAATGAAATTTAATACTTTATTAATGCAAAAAAATTAATATTTATTAAATGCAAAAAAATATTAATTATAATGAAATTTTTCATTAGATTTATTAGTTTGTAATTCCATTATTTAATAAAAAATTTAATGTTTTATTAAACTCAAAAAAAAATTAATTATAATGAAAAATAGAATGCCACATCATCACTTTTATATTCTAATATATTGCCACATGAATATTTATGCTTTAGAAATTATATATTTATATATATAAATAGATATTGAATAATGTTTATGTTATAAATTGATGTTTAAGAATGATAAAATGTATTAGTGCTAATTGGGTGAAAATTAACCATTTATTTTAGATGACTATTTTATTGAGGAACCTTTGAGGCTTAAACTCTGAAATAACTATCAAGACAGTATTTCTTATAGTGAAATAAGAAATGAAATTATTTTTTATTTTTAATTAGAAATTAATGAATATTTATCAAATTTATTAAGTAGGAGGTGTAGGGTTAAAATCTTCTTAATCATATGTGTTTTCATTAGTTTGGTGAATTTAGAGGAGAGCTACTCTTATTGTAGTCGGCAATGTTATTTTGGTGGACAGTGTTTCTCTATGAATTAAAAAGAAAAAAAAAATACAATACCATCCAATTTGCTATAACAAAAACATGAATAAAACCTTACCATTACTGCAAATTTAAATTAAACAAACTTAATTAATGCAAAATCAACTAAACCAACAAAAAAAAAAAAAACCTAAAAATTAAGTAAAAACTCAACATAAGAACTGAAAAATTAAAATAAATAAATAAATAAAAACTAGAGAAAGAACAAAGAACAGGGAGAAGAATAAAAAGAAACTAGAAGCTCTGAAGAACTAATTAATGTCCCATTACAACCGCTCCAAGAATACCTTGATTAGCTGGTTGAACATCCTCTAGTTCTTTTTCTTCGTCGCTTTCAGCTGGTGGATATTCCCGTCCGGTGCTTTCCTCCTCCAAATTTCTGTGAGGATATTTAATGGAAATTTTGTTCACAACTTTATAAGTATCATCAAAATCCTCATCTTCGAATTCATTTTCTTCATTTTTGTTGCTGTTTTCGCCTTCTTTGCTACTCTTACCATCGCCAGAACTGTTGGCACTCTCTGAACATGTCACTTTGATAAAGAATGAGCAGAGCATTAGAGTGATGAATAAGCTGAAGAGAAACTTTCCTCTGCATATTGATACTGTCATTGTTGATTATTAATTTTGTATTAGTCTTAACTGGTTTTGGTTTGGAGTTTTTATTAATTGTGGAAAGATGTTAGATATATAAAAAGTGTATTTCTTACTATTTTTAAGAAGTCAAGGAGTGTAGTTTTTTTAGGTGGTTCTCCTTTTTTTAGTTTTGAGCTGGTCTTATGGTGAGAAATTATTTATTATTTTTTTTCTTTTCTCTTAGATAATAATTAGTAATTATCTGTCTATTAATCACTGAACTAAACAAAAAATCAAAGTTAGTAACTTTTGGAATTTATTATTTTTATTAATAACAATAAATATGTAGATCGATTTATATTAATAAGTTATTATTTATGTTAGTCATATTATGTTAACGTAGAAGATAGTTGTGGGTTATGGGTTATTCAGTATAATTCGTTATACTGTCGTTTGTTTTTTTTGTATGTTTGTTTTGTTGGATGCATGGAAGTTCTAATGGGTGAGTTATTTTGTATGTTGTTTGTTTATGCAATTATGAGAGTTTCAATTGGTGAGTCGAATGCATGGCTCTACAAACTTTGTCCTTTATGGTGAAAAGAATCGAACTTTGTCCTTTATGGTGAAAAGAATCGAACTCGAGATCAATCAGATCATGCATGATTGACAATCCTATTTGGTATCCTGCATTTTCACATTTTCCATATGTTATTAAGCTGGCAAGCCATAGTGGCATCCAATTCAGAATTATGAGTTTAAAGTTTTTTACTTCATTTCTACGTAAGTTCAGAAACTAAGCCAGCTTCGGAGCCGGATCGCCCAATTGAACCCCCTCTATAGGAGAAGTAAACAAAGAAATATGGAAAAGTGAACTAACATTGCAAAAATTGAAACTCAAGTGACATGGAAAAATAACAAGGATATCCATTTACATCAAACTTCATAACAAAAGAAAATGTCAATCTGCAACCACAACTTTTTGCATCCAAAATAAGGAAACCAGCTAAAAGTATAGACTGCTATGTTACAGCTGCCAACCATGACTTCACTCCCTTCTTAACACTCTTCAACAGAATCCAACAACGTCCGATGAATTATTCCTCACGGTTTTACGTGCCATAGTATGGTAGACGCTGCCATAATGCTCGGAGAGAAACTTGAAAAACTTCTTTCTTTAACCTGTTCTGCTGAGTTATATATGATCCTTTCTGAAGGAAATAGAAGACTGATTACCTTTTCAGCAGCAACAATTTGTTTTTCTTGAAGTTCCTTGTTGTGCATGAGTTCCCTGCAGTGGAGAATAATCTGTAAGTTGCAGAAGACAATTTAAGAATTATGAAGTTACATTCAGTAGAAATTAGCAAACTGACATTTTATAGGTCCTCGGCATCGAGTCTTTTCAAAGGACTCATCTGTTTAACTTTGGGCCATAAATAAAGAGCTCAATTAAAAAGATCAAAAGCAAATAAATCGACTGAACCAATGTTTACAAATTCAATTTGCTTAATTCTATTTTCATAATAATTCATTTTATTTGGTAATCAAGACTATTTAGGTCCAACTTTTCATCAATTATGGAGCCAAGTTTATCAACCCTAACTTATACATACTACATAAGCTTTATTTTCTTAGGCATCCAGCTCATCAATCGAATTATGGGTGAGGATGGAGCTATTTTTGCCAAAATGCAATTGCAGCCATATTGTATCTAACAAATTTATAAGGTAGGTGCAGACGTTTTGGCTATGCATGCCACATCCACACTCTTCTAGAAGTTAAGAAGACAAAAAAAGGGCTTCTATTGTGAGATGATCTTACTTAAGCAATGAGGCTAGATTTGTAGGTGTGCATGCGTGAAACAGAGCTTCAGGAATTATGGCAGAATCCATGAGTATATTGGGCAGAGAAATGTATGGTATCTTTGCTTTGTACTGAATAAATGATTCAGTTAGGAGATGGGCTCGGTAGGCAACTACACATGGCAAGCGTGCAAGCTGAAGCTCCACGGCAACTGTTCCAGAAGTACATAATGCAACAGTACTGGCCTGAAGGCATTCAATCAACTTCAGTCACAATGATAAATTGCATCATAAAATACATAAGGGGTCCAAAATGATGAAACTTTATTTTTTCTGCACATGGTGCATTCGACAATAAAAACCTCACAAGTATCCAATATTTCCCCAAAGGCATTTTCAGTCAAACCAGATACTAGCATCAGATATAGGCTCTTCAAAGAACTCAACATTTCAGTGCAGCAATTTATAGTTTATATTCAAGGTAAACATAAAAGACAAGGAGAGAAAAAAAAAAAAAAGAAAAAAACACCAGAGTTTGAAGGACCAAAAGAATCAAGACATAATTACTTAATGATAAAAATAAAAACAGAATTTAAAGAACTGAAAAATTAAGGCCTGATAGTTAAAAAAAAAAAAAAAAGGCTATATGCCTTTTCCAACTGTGACCATCTCTTTAAGATTCAGTAATGTCCATAAAATTCAATAATAAAAACCAAGCATACTCAGTTTTCTCTCTTGTAGTATGAAATAATGAACAGAATGGTAACTGGACTTAAAGGAAAATTTATCAGAAACTCTAATTTGGTAATGATGGCAGCAATTGGAGGTTTTTATACTTGGACTGTTCCAATCTTGTTGACCTGTTTTATCTTCTACCTTACCACCCATGAGAATTACCAGGATTTGTCAAATCCTGAGTTGGAGGATGTACACTCCCAGGCAACCCCTTAAATCAACATCCAACACAACTCTATCACTGTTAACTATAAAGAAGAGTGGAAGGACTTACATTAAATGCATCATATTTCATGCGTGGATGTCCTCCAGGAACCACTATAGCAGGCACAGGCCACTTATGAACAAAAGCCTTAATGTAATCTTCCACAAGCTGATTTGGTGCTAGGTGGATGACTGCAAATAACTCGTTAAAGGAGTCTTGTAACTGTTCCATTGTATTTGCAAAGATGGAAAGCATTTTGGTGACCTCTTGTAATCTACTTCCAGGAAGCAAAGAAACAACAGTGGCACCTTTCAACGAGAAAATTGACTAAGCACTAAGCAAGAAGGAATTTAAAATTTTAAAATAGATAAGCTCCTTCTGGTTATTATTAATGCAAGAATAATAATATACTTTACAACTTGATGCAGGCCTTAAATTTTTCAATAAAACCAGAAGTTTAAGATCAATTTAAGAAAATAATCCAGTTAGAATACCTGAAGGTACTCCATGTTTACTTTGGAAATCTTCACGGTTTCCCTCTATTTTGCATTCATGTGGTGAGATTTGCTTTCCCTTCACATTATAAGCCATCAATGCTTTATAGGTTAATTAGCTCTAAGAGTGAATATCCACCATACTAACCAAATAAGAAATTAATTCAAGTAAGAGACACGTTTTCTCCGATATTGCAGCTCTTTAGAATGATAAAGTACGTTATACAATCTTGAAACTTCCATAGGAACTTTGAAGATGAAACTATTTAAATAAATAAACTCTTATCAATGCAGAATAGATTCCAGGATTAGGAGATGAAACACATACTGAATTCAATTCCAAAACATCTTCCAGAATGGGGTGGCCCACAAAGGTTGCAGCCAATCCATTTGACTTACAAACTGCTTCCTCATTTGGAAGTATGCAAAAAACATGATCCACAAAATTAGCTAGATCTTTGAGCCTTGCTTCTCCCCCTTTCCATGCCCAAAATGATGGTGCCACATAATGGAAGTGTACAGGGCAATCATCCCATCGTTGCTGACTGTATCTAGCTGCAAAAAGCATTTCTCCATTTTCCTACAACAGATTTATGCTGATGCAAAAGGCAGGGAAGTGGTTCATGATACCTCGCAACTGCTTTAGGAGACGAAAAGAGAATCCCTTGGAGTCCACAGTCACAACAACATGAGGCCGAAACAGAAGAGCAGCCTCAGTTGTTTCCTTCAACTTTGCCTAATATTTAAGGTTCAACTTTAATCAAATATTTAGAGAGGCAGTTTCATGGAAATTTGATGCAGTGATGTGTTTTCTCGACTCACTCTGATTCGAGTCAGATGGGGTAACAACTCCCATATCCCCATTACTGCTATATCCTCCATAGGAAACAGAGATTTCAATCCTTCCTTGGACATCAAGAACCTTACACATAAGGAAACAAAATTTCAAAGTAGATAAGAATTAAAAGGCCCTAGACCTACTTTTTAAAAACATTTCTACTGATTAAGGTAAGGAAAACATCCTCACTTACACTGGTGATCAGGGGTAAGATAAATATATATTCCCATCAAAGAAGGAATGTGTTTTTCCAATATCAAAATAGAGGCTTTTCAAATCATTGTTGTAGCTCCTATTGCGAAAAACAAAACCTAGAATATGATGATTAAAGGCAAATAAAAACTCTCTTTGCTGGTATATTTGACATATTTTATTTATAAAAACTTGAAAACAACTAAACTCAAACCACCTTTGCAAAAGTGGTGCTTTTTTTTATATGACATTTTAGAGAACACGATTTTACATAATCAATATGAATGTCAAAAATTATGCATAATTCAAGTACAACTATGCCATCCTAAAATTTAAAACAAAAAAAAAAAAAAAGAGATTACTGCATTCACATATCTGAATTAAACAAATACAATCAAGGAACAGACAATTACAAAAAGACCAGCCAAAAATTAAGAGCTTACCCTCCAACGCCTGCAAAGCGGATGGGAGTAGGAGAAAGCTTCTTCAAGGAAGCCATAAGACGAGAACCAATAGTATCTCCTGAAACCTCACCAGCAACAACGAACACTCTTAGTTCCCCATCTTTACCAGCAATGTCCATCACAGTTTTGCTTGAGACAGATATATATCTTCTAAGTTGCCTCAAGAATCCCATATCAGCCCCAGCATTCACATTCTTGATAATTTTTGACAGCATTTTTTGAATATTCGCTGAGCATCACAAGCCAAAAAATAAAAATAAAAAACTTAAAATTTTCATAAACTAAATTTCCTCTTACTCTTTCTAGGTTATTTGGAGTTCAGATTCATTGAAAATTAAAACTTTATGCTCATCTGGTTATATGATAGTAAAATACAAGAATATCAAGATAACTACACCACAAAATTACAAATAACAAAAGCATGCGCATTAAGAAAAATACACTTTTGAAGATGAGAGCAGAAGCAAGCAGAGACTGAAGTAGGAAGCTAGTCCGGCGGAGAGAGAGAGGGAAGCGAAGTGGACTGTGCAGATGAATTTGGGCCGAAGAGATGCCTAGTGTTCTTTTTTTTCCTCAATAACTATTTTTTTATTTGCTAGGAGGCCCAATGGCCGTTACACTGTTATAGTCTACCATATTCTCCCCTTGGCGAGTAGATGGACGAAAACTCGTGTGGTCGGAGGTTTCGAAATTATAACTAAGTGAAAAGTCTAATATGGTTATGCCTAGTTGGCTTATAACTATTTACTCCCTCGATTATAATTTTTTTTCATTTTATAAAGTTTAACTCTAATTAATTATTTAGGCTATGCTTATATTAGGAAATTAACTTACCTTCACATTTTTCAATGTTCAAGATATTTAGAAAAATCAGTTAATAGAAAATATTTTCCTATTAAAAAAAAATTAAATCATTTTAAGAATGCTAAATGATAAAAGAGGGTCTGAATTTTGATGATTTTTATAATTTTAGCCTTTTTTTTTTTAATTTCGACAATTGTGACAGTGAATTTATTTTTTTTATTGCAATTATAGCATGTGTCTCGTGAGCGTTACGAAATTATTGATGTTATTGTTAGTGGCATTCACATTTTAATATATTAGTACCACATCACATGCTATGTCAATAATTTAAAAAAATCTTGAACTTTTTTCATTTTTGCAATTTTAGTCGATACCAACCTTTTTATGACATGCGTGATATGTTGACTATGCTCGGTATATACTCATTTTTTTATATTCTTTTAGTTTTTTTTATCTACATAATATTAAAGTGTGAGTTTTTGTTTAGATTAAAATTAATACAAGCAGTTAATTTGTATTACATTTTACCGTACAAACTACTTATAATGTTATTTCTTATGTACTTAATTAGATTTTTATATAGTGAAGTGGTCTCAAACAGAATTGATATGATAATAATTTTGGCAACAGTAGTATTATTACTTACCAAGTGTATTAGAGAAATGAATATATGCTATAATCTTCTAGTTCTCTCTTTTTAGTCTACCATAATATTTAAAGTGTGATGTTTTTTAAGTATTTAGATTGAAAATTAATCCTACATAGGACCTAATTATATTTGTAAGATGCTGAACAATTTTACCACAGATAGAGAGTACACGCAACTAACATTATTAAGAAATTTATTATAGCGGAATTGGGTTCTTAATGTTACTAGGTCAAATAAATTAGATTCTCACTTTTATTATAAAATGTGAATATTCGTGAGTCCTCAACACAGAATTGAAATATGGATGCATAGAATTTCGTGGGCGAGAGCGTAGTAGTCGACTTTAGTTCGATAACTATACCAGAGTTCGCTGTAGAGTGTAGGAGAAATGTGATAATGCATATGTGATACTGACAAATTCTTTAGAAACTCTAGAAAAAGTGACCACAAACGAAAAGGTATAAGAATTTATAAGTTCGTAAAGGTTAAAGTTCTCTTGCTTATTTTGCCTAAACACTATTTTCTTTCAGCTCAAACGAGATTTAGAGAGTCACCCAAAACCGAAAAAAAAATATCAGAAAAATGTAACAAATTAATCGATGAACATCTGATTATTAACTCCATTTTACATATTTATTGTCTAAGTGGAAAACCATACCTATAAGTCTATTCTACACATAAATTAACAATGATAACAATTGATAGCAAGAATCACTTAAAGCGGAAAAAGGAAAATCAAAGAAGAAAAATAAAACAGCATAAATTTATTAAAGAATAGAGAGATTCTTTTCAAACCTAAACGTAAAGAAAAGATGTTTGCAAATAATTATATTTAAATAATAGTCAATCATATCAATCACACCACATATTATTATAGATATATACAAAAGATAGAAAAGATACATAATTTGTATTTTTAAGAACTGGTCCTACCCTAGTAATGCAGCCCTCCCACACACATATCGGTAGATAGGATTTTCATTACCGTAAATATAAATTTTGAAAAAAATGTATATAAAATGTTAAAACGGGTAATTAAGAATTATATTGTGTCATTGTATTTTGGAAATAATCCTATTAATTTTTAAAAAAAAATAATATATTCAGAGAGCTCAAATCATATCAAATGCACCTAAAGAAAAAAATAATTAATGGACAAGAATGATACTGTTGTATTCTATCCTTTTTATATCGTGCTCTACTAAAATAAAAATACAGATATGTCACTAGCTTGCTATTGTGAAATTATTTATGTTTAAAAAATCATACTCAATCTAAATTATAGCGAGGTAATCAGTCATGATAAGGACACAAAAATAATTAATAAAAAGGAAATATACTTTTTATAACACTATATTTTTAGTTCTATCTCCTTCAAGAACAATAAAATATTATAAGTAATTAAATTATAATTACAAATATAATTAAATTATTGCCAAAATAGAAATATAAAATTTTTTAAACGGTCTCTTAATCATGATATACTGCCACTAAGTAAAATGAGAGAAATTTTAGAAAGATATAAGACTTATACAAAAAAAATAATGTTATAAAAGAAGTACTGGTTAAGTCATAGAATCACTAAATAAAATAATATGTTTCGAATAAACAAGTATTATATAGAATTTTTTAAAAATTTTTAAAAATCTTTAAAACTGATTAGCCAATCTCACGACACATATTGTTCATTTTATTTAAAAATAATTTATTGAAAAAAAGTAAAAAAAATGTTAAACTTTTTGAAAGGTTTAATTAGTGTGGTAACTTCTCTATTCTTAAGAAAAATTCAATTTTTAAAAGAACTATTATATGCCTCTCAATCAAGATTATCAAAACATAAAAAAATAAAATTATTAAAAAATGAATAACATAACTTCTTTCCCTTTTTTTATATCGTCTTCTGTATATATTATATAAGTAGGTATGTATATTTTATAACTATCTAAAATTTATTTTTAATAAAACAATCCTAGTCAAATCATATCAATATAAAAGAAAAAATACCTGAATAAACCAAATATATTTTTTTTATTTCTCTCTGAAATAATAATACTTTAGAAAATTAAATAATTAAAAAATTGAATCAATATATTTAGAAAAATAAAATATAAAATTTTTAAGAATGTCCTTCTTATCTCTATGAGTATGTTATGTGGTCTGTTATTAAAATAATGAAAATTTTGAAGAAAAATACAACAAATCTTTAAATCTCTTTTGAAAATGCCATAAATTATCTATAATTGTATCTCTGAGTTAAAAATAATTTTTATAGATATATCCAATCAATTAGTAAAATAATATATTTTTTTAACTGGCTAATGAATTTATATGTTCTCAGCTGTTTAGCATGATTCTAGAATTTTCATTAAGAACATTCATCCCCAGAAATTCATAAGATTTACCCTCGCTATTCCTACATTTATATAGCTAATATCAGGATTTTTTTTTAATATTTTTCCGGAAATGTCATGATGGAGGATTGATTATTTGTGGTCTACAAATATATCACCACTGAGCCTTACGGTACAATTAATTAATTGAATTAATAAATGTTTTAAATTATGTAAACTTTAAGGATTCGTTCCTTGGTGATTCTTCAAATTACAGCCCCTATAAGTCTTATCGTTTGAGAACAAGATTTTTGAGAACCCTTTTAATTATTCTACTTTTAATGTTATAATTATGCTTAATTACGAGTAGAGGAAAATACATAGAAAATTTAATAATCCTACGAATAGCTTATAGAGATAACTATTACACATTATATACTTTTACATTCGTAATTTAATTCCAAATGAGAAATTCATTTAAAAATTAAAAAATGAAAATTATTCGTATGCCACAAAACATAATTCGCATGAATTTTAAAATAAATAATATGAAATATTAAAGTATTAATCTTCTAAAAATATAAAAAAATATTGCAAAAAAAATGAAAATTTCAACGGTAACTTACTATTAATTGGCTAAAGATTGAATAAGGAATTTAGACTAATTTATTAAAGAATTACTTTTAATAATGGTGAACTATACAAAAACACTAAATGTAAAGTTTAAATTATTCTTTTTAATATCATTAATTTGATTATGGAAGAAAAAACCACTGTTTCATTTTTTTAGGGTATAATAAATATGTTTTTTAAATAAATTTTGAAAAAATAAAATTTTAAATTTTAAAATGCCTAATTATCTATATGTATTTATTTAAAAATAATTTTTATAAATATATCCAATCAATTAGTAAAATATAATTTTTTAACTGGCTATGATTAATGTTATTTTAGCATATTCTAAATTTCATTAAGAACATTATCAGAAATTTCATAATTTCCCTCCTATTCCTACATTTATATATAATATAGATTTTTTTTTATTTTAGGAATGTCATATGAGTTGTTTTGTGGTACAAATATATACATACTTAGCATTTTATTAATTATAATTTAATTATGTAAACTTTAGATTTTCTTGGGTGATTCTCAAATTACAGCCTATAAGTCTATCATGGAAAATTTATTATTTAATTATTCACTTAATTTATAATTATTATACTATAAAAAATAAAAATTTAATTCCAAATACTAAAATAACATTACACATTATATATTTTACATTTAATTTAATTTTGAAAATTTTAAAATTAAAAAATAAATTATTGTAATCCAAAATAATGCATTTTTAAAATAAATAATTTTAAATTAAGTATTATTTAAAAATATAAAAAATTGAAAAAAATAAATTCACGGTATTTATTGCTAAAATTATAAGAATTAACTAATTTAAAATTATTTTATTGAACTTACAAAAACAATTAAAGTTTAAATTTTTTTTAATATCATTAATATTTTAAGAAAAACCACTTTTCATTTTTTAGGGAAAAAATATTTTTTGAAAGGTACCCTAATATGATAGGAAGAGTCGCGCTAGCTTAATTTCAGTGCCTTGAGGCCTAATAAGCGTAGCGATTCGCCTTATTGAAGAAGCATGGATGTATGTAAAGGGATTGATAGGCGGAGAGTGAACGAATGGGATCACTTTCACCCCTTTAGAGCATAAGACCTAGATCTAGAGCGGGTGCTGAAGCTCTCAATAAAAAGAATTCAAAATTGGGCGACTTTGATTCGACAAATTTATTATGATTTTTAATAT